TAAGAAAGTATCGTCTCCACAGGGATTGGGATCGAATATCAAATAATTGTCCTTTTAAGATGGAAGTGTAACGCCCGACTGATTCAAGAATCAATGACTATCCCCACATACTAACACGAGACTTTTCAGTGTGCTTTTTCCTCACTCGAACACTTCCCGAGAAAACTTGAGATCTCTACCATTCTGGAGAGGGTCCATTTGCTGGAATTTGTTAAGCTTAGTCGCCCGTTTGTAGCACCCATGGTTCGGGCATTCTATTGAAATTTGAACTACAACGACCGTGTGCTGCAATCCAAGGTCAAGGATGTCACTATAAAGATCTATCCACAGGATTGGACCAACCTTATTGGTTATGTTCGCATTGCAATCTCGAATTTGATGGCTCTGACTACCGTGGCTATGAGGAATACCAGAGAGAAGAATTCATTCAATCCATTGTTAGAGAAGGCACTTACAAACTTGGCATGACCAAGTTTTCTCCTCTATGTCTGACAGTGCCTAACCGGATTCTACACTATCTTATCACTCATGTCATCTCACCTAGGGGGGGTAATCATGTTGTGGTGCTTAACACTGATCTGTTCTTTATGTAGGCCATTCTTCACAGGGCGACGATCTATTGGCCTTATACTCTATGCCGCATCATGCTTACTGCTCATCATCATCAGACTTCTCCACTCCCATTCCTATGCTGATTCAGGCTATTATGGAGTATCGCCAGGTTCCCATGAATGGGGAGGCCAAGACACCCCTAAAAAATAATCATAGAATTGTAGGCACACAGCTGAAAAAGTGTGGAGCAAGCGAGTGGGTCTACTCCTCCTTTGTTCCTCTTGCTGATCCTATGGATGAGGATGCTCCTGTTCATGACGATGATATGCCTGCCGCTGCTACTGCTGATGCTCTTGCTACTGCAGATACATCCATCCCTCAGGCTCCTCCCCGTGCACATGATCGACGTTCCTGCACTCTCGATGATATCATGGACTATCTGGTTAGCATGAATGAAGTCACGGGCAACCGTCTCACCCGCATCGAGCGTCATCTTGGACTGCTTAACGATGATGACGGTGTTGAGGGTCTTTCTGCTCCTGGCTCCCCAGAGATCTGACACCTATAGTAATTTTCTTTATGCTTCGCTATCTTTTTACTGTCACTGACCTCTGATGCTGATTTTTTTTGGGGTTTATTTACTTTATCTGGTTGGATGTTCATCTTTTAGATAACTCTTATATTATCTTCATCTTATGATGATATGAATTTCCTACTTGTTTTGCATTAAATTGTCCTTTTGTTTTTTATGTTTCCAAAGGGGGAGAAGATATTGCAAATTGAGAAAGATATATAAACTAAGGTAAAAAGGGGGAGCACAATCACGAAAGGTAAAAACACGGTAAACATTGATCTAGAACTCCGTTTTTTTAACTATCCACATATTAAGGGGGAGTCCTAGTATCATCTTATCAAAATACATATTACACTAACCCCTCTTCTCAATTTAAGTTTGTCATCATCAAAAAGGGGTAGATTGTGAAACCAATGCGCTTAAAATGAAGAGTCACTGATGCAAGAGTTTCGATGATGACAAACAAGCATAGAAGCGACGTTAAAAAGAATACAACTCGCAACAATCAAAAGTCCAAGGAAGCAATTCAAACAAGACAACAAGAGCAAATCATTCAACACACAAGATCAAGGTTGAAACATGCTCTTGAGAGCTTACATCTAATTGTAAAGGTAATTGATTAATGATGCACATAAGAGCTCAAAGGACATTTAACTCTATGCATGCATTATCTATGTCATCAATCACTTGAAAGCTTTGATTATTATGGAAAAGACCCTTGACATATTTCGTAACCTCAAAACATTCTGTACAAGTCAAGGAAATACATTAAAAGTGATTAGAGACTAAAAGGAATGCTTTACAACTCATAAAACTGCATAATTGATGATCTGTCAAAGAGAGTATTCGAATACTCTATTGGCTGTATTCGAATACTTATGCTAAGAACAAAGTATTCGAATACCAGTTGAAGTATTCGAATACCTTACGAATAGTATTCGAATACTTACTGGACAGTAAGCAGTACAACGGCTATAAATGGTTATAAATGGCTAGTTTTGCGAAAATGAGTGTGCAAAGGGTCATGGGGGCCCTCTATAAATAGTGATCACTGTTCCCCTTGATGTGACACCTTTCCAAATCATTATTCTTGCTTTATTTCACATCATTTGCTTACTTTCCAACATCTTGATCATAAATCATCTTTGAGCTCTATTCTTGTGTCATTGATCAATACCTATAAGTTTCAACTTGTATAATCTGTACTTCAAGAGTACAAATCCTTTTCTAAATACTCTCATTCTGTCCATTTGTGTTGAGGGTAGTGAGACCCTAGTGAAAGAGGTTGCTCATAACCTAAGTAAGTGAGTGGAAGTGTAAAGGTTTCAAGAATCTATATTCTTGAAGGTTGTAGCGGTTTGTCAAGCACCCTTGAAGCTTGATAATTAGTGGAAAGTTGAACGAGGGGTTTCAATCTGGACGTAGGTCACTGTGGTGGTGACCGAACCAGGATATATAGTGTTTGCAATCTCTCTAACTCTTTATCTCTTTACTTTAGCATTATTTGATTACTTGAACTTATTTATATCTCCACATTACATACTATTTGCTTGTATTAATTTCTATTCTCTAAGTTTTGCTTGTGCCAAATTATATTAACTTAAGAAAATCGCTTTCAAGAAAGGAAGTGAGGCATTTTGTGAAAATATTTTTAAAACTCAATTCAACCCCCCCCCCCCCCCTCTTGAGTTTGAGGCCACTTGTCCAACAACACGGTGGTGGTAGAGCGAAATGGTGGTACCAGTGGCGTCTTTCGGTACAAAGAAAGAAAAAGAGTGAAAGGAAACGCAATACAAAGAAAGAAAAAGAACGAAAAGGAAATCGAGAATCGACGTCGTTAATAGTTGCTGCAGATGTTTTTCTTTCAGTCACATAAGAAGTATATATCCCATATATATATATATATATAGGTAAGATCCTTTGACACTGAAAATTTGACACCTCATCTGAGAGCCGTTAGATCAAAAAAGATCAACGACTCTGATTTGTAAGCATGTGACACCATTGATCTTTTTTTATCTAACGGCTCTCAGATGAGGTGTCAAATTTCAAATTTGACACCGGTGTCAAAAGATCCTACCTCATATATATATATATATATTTACATTTCTGCAACTGCTGTACGTGCAGCAATCAAATACTTGTCATATATATACTTAAAAGCATTAAATGCGGGGAATCATAATCATACAAAGGAAGAAAGCATTAAATGTGAGGAATCATAACCATATACATGCCGTTGGTGTACGCAAAGCGACTGCAAAAATGATTTTACTATATATATATATATATATATATATATATATATATATATATATATATATATATATATATATATTTGTATCATTAGAATTATATATTATCGAACAAGTTGAAAGAAAAAAAAGGCAAGCTCATTTACTTAAAAAAAGAGAGTAAGGAATAAACTTTTTCTTCTAAAATTTTAAGGGAAACCAAACATAAAATTATTTTATTAAGTGATTAAAAGTCTAGTTGTTTGACGTTTTTCTTAAGAAAAAATAGTTTCTAAATTAAAAATATTTTCAAAAAGTTTTAGATGAAGTTAATACAGAAAAACAAAACTAAAATAAACAGTTTTAACATTTACAAAAAATTAAAAAAAATTAAAAAAATAAATAAAAACTTTCCAAACATAAACAAACGCATCCTAAATAAGTTTATACTTAATAATATATATGTATATAAGTATTTTCTTTAATTAAAAATTAATTAATAATAGTAATATGTTTTACGTATGACTCATTAAATAATTTATTTTAAGGAAATATATTATAAGTATCATGTTGTTAGAGAAAGATATCTTATGCTCTACACTAATTGAAACATGTCCCATTTTTTTTTAATTATAAACTCCACATATTTGTCTTAGCCACATCAGAATACTATATCCAATAATATGAGATTAGTAACTCCCTTTATTTTTGCTACATTTTATATCATATTTCTAAATTTTAAAATGTTGTTGACTGGATTCTGGCAAATAAAATTAGGAGAATATGTTTATCATATCTTATGAAATAATTTTATCTCATGCAACACGCAAAAAAATAAATAACACCAACTAAGGAAAAAAGAGAAAAAGAAAAAAAAATCTCACCAACTTTTTGTTTGTGCATGAGAAATATAATTCCTATAAAATTATTTAATGGGATAAGTTATTATTGCATCGATATAAAAATAAGAATAATTTACACCAAATCATAATCATTAATTTATTTATACTTAAAGACTTACATGTCTAATAAAACAGGATGTCTTATATATAAATAAAATTTACATTTTAGGTTGAAGGTGTATCTAGAAGTTATAACGATATAAAATCAGGGTAATATTTTTCTTATGTTACATAAAAAAAATATTATCTCTTATATAAATAATAAATATGAGAGAAAAAATTGTAAGACCCATTTGAAAAATATGAATGTAAAAAATAACACTCTTATGCAATATAAGAAAAGTATTATCCATAAAATAATGGTACACATAATCTATACATAAACACAAGAAAATTATAACACACAATAATTTCAAAATATTTTATTATATTTAAGGAAAAAATATTTATCTTTTTAAAAGATATAGAATTGTGTCATTTTAAATAAGAGTAAGAGACAAATTAATAATTTTAAAATTTAAATTAAAAAATACTCACTTTCTTTTTCATAATTTTTATTATTTACATCCATCTCTCAATTAAAATAACACAACTTTATATATATATATATATATATATATATATATATATATATATATATATATATATATATTTTTTTTTTTTAAAAAAAATAAAACTTCAAACCCTATATTTATTTATCAAATTTGTTTATAATTGTAAGACACGATTCAGAAAATATATTTTCCGATTTGCAGACTCGGGTTGCAAACTAGCAATCGCGGAAAGCAAAGCATTGCGCTTATTCGAGCGCCTCTGCATCGCGAACCAACGAATCATCCAAACCGAGTCAAATCCCAGATTGGAAGCTTCTACATTCGTTCACTGCAAGTTAATTTCTTCAACCAACGCTTCTTCTTATTCTCAAATTTCTTCCTCAATCAAATCAAAATCCCCTTACCTTTTCATTCATACATATTTAAATATATATGTATGTATGTATATCAATTTAGGGTTTAATTTTGGGGCGACTTAGGAACGCCGTCGAATCTGGTCCCAATTTTTTCATCCAAGAATTTGAACTTTTAACTGCCTCTGGTTTTGTTAACCCCAGATTTAATATACACCACAATTTCATGGCATTATTGTTTATCTTATTTTTTTTTTATTAATTTTGAATAATTTGCATGTTTCTGGGGTTCTTATAGAACTTCTATATTATAATTTGATTTATGTGTTATTTGTGAAATTAAATATAAAGCTTATATAGTACATAAGGAATGCTAATCACTTTTTATTTTTATTTTTTTATTAATTATTTCCCCTGGATATATGCTTCACTCATTTTTTGCTCACCATTATCTTTTTTTTTTTTTTTTAATCTAAAAGTGTTCATTTTTTATTGATTTGCTGAAGTAAGAAGGAGCATATTTTGGTATAATTCTATACCCAATTTGAAGCACTGTCTTGAAAGATTTTGAGAGTTTGAGGGAAGAAGTTGATTGAAATATGCTTCAGATTCGGCTTAGTAAGGCTCCTGCTTCAGAAGGGTCAGGAGGGGCGAAGCTTTCACCTGTTGAGACTGTTACAGTTGCATGCCCTGACCATCTGGTCCTTGCTGATCTTCCTGTCGCAAAGGGCATTGGGGCAGCTACTGCTGCTTCACTTGTTAAGACTTTGGGCCGTAGATCCCGGCGCCAGCTTGGCGAGCGAGTCCATTTCTGTGTTCGCTGTGATTTCCCAATTGCTATTTATGGACGGCTGGTAACTACTTACACATGGTAGCCTTTTCTTCAATTGAGATTTCTGCTTGTTAGGATGCTTAAAATCATGACAGCATCTAAGTTGTTTGGTTCTAATTTAGTTTTTTTCATTCAGGCTTAGTTTCAAAAGTGGTTTTTTCTGGAAATACTGTTTGTTTCTAGCCCCACCCATTGTCCTCTCCAAAAATACAATGCATAGCAAAAAAATATTGTTGAACAGAGCATGCTAGCTGTAATGCTGAATGGTTATTAAGTGGACAGCTAACTTCTCTTTCATGCACATATATTTTTTTAATGGAAGCTTTTATCTGAATATAAGATGTATGTTCTTGTATGTCCTTGATTTGGAGTTGACTTTTTATTTTTCTGCTATATGGTGTTATTAGCTTCCACTTGATATATTCCTATAATGGGCCTATGGTTTTATTCTTTAGCATTTCTAGATAACACTCTGGTTATTTCATTGATGGCATTATCATTTTTATTTGAAATTTGGATGAAAATGACAAAATGTATATTATAATTGTATCAAAATACATTTCCCCCCGACATAGTTCGTTTGCAGTTAGAGTTCTACATGTTAAGCATGCTTTGAGAGGTGGACCTGTTTAGTGATAAGGCTTCCATATTAACATTTAGATAATGTGCTTGTCTTGTTCTCACTGAACGTATGGTAGAACTTGTTAAATACCTCGATGTTGGTTTACAGTAAATAACAGGCTTATTATCTTGCAGAGCCCTTGTGAGCATGCCTTCTGTCTCGATTGTGCTAGAAGTGATTCAATGTGCTACCTGTAAGGATGTTTCTTATCTTCTGATCTTCATACAGTAAAGCAATGACGCCAGTGACGTTTGTCTGTTTTAAATTTCCTTCCATTTTCTGGGTTCCTACAGGACTTACCTTTGGAGTATAATGTTTGCTAAGTATCTAATTTAGGAGATCTTGGCTTCAGTCTAACTGGCCCCCTCTTTTGTCCTTTTACAAATGTCTTTCACGCATTAACTAAGTTTAAGTTGTATGCCTTTCATTTTTCAGGCAAGAAGTGCATTATGAATTTATTTTTCTAAAGGGGTGCGTTAAACCTTTCGTTTGTTACATTATTTTTCATGAATTTGATATTACTTTTAATTAGTTTGGAAATAAGATTTCAGAATTCATTCTTAAATATTTGTGCATTTTTATTTAATCCATCCACTTACATGCCACTTGCTTTCACATCATTCACACCTGATACGTGGAGGGTGGCATATTTTGATTTGTACTTGTCTATGGGCCATCTGCACACAAATCAAGATCTGTCAGCTTGAATGGGTGTAAAGGATATGTATGCAAGCAGTGTATAGCAATACTTTTTTTTTCACTTTGCAATAACAGAAATACTATAAATATTTAAATAAGCATGGAAAAAGGGGTGGTTTATTTATTCGTTCATTTTTACTGTTTGCCTTGTATTTTGGGGGCTTGAGGTATGTCCACCTTGATATTGACGAGGGAATTTGTTTTGCAATTGATAGCTTTCATGGGTAGAAGTTATCTTTTCTGTATAACATCTGATGTCTGTGTAAAAGAAATGGTTTTCATCTTCCTTGGAATGCAGGTGTGATGAACGAATCCAGAAGATTCAGACGATCAAAATGATGGAAGGAATCCTCATATGTGCAGCTCCTCATTGTCTCAAATCTTTCTTGAAGAAGGCTGATTTTGAATCTCATATCCAAGACAGCCATGCTAACCTTCTTCGTCCCAATGCGGATAAAGATGAAGGAAATGAGTCGGAGGCACAGAGTGTTAGGCAATCCACAGCTTCAGATTCCACAGCTCGAGGTCCCCAAAGGCCAGTTTTTTCTCCTGGTTCAAATTCCCAACAACATGATCTGGAAGACAAAACTCGCCGACAGCCACCAAGGGAGCAACCACCTTCAAGACCAACACTGCAGCCCAAGCCACCATTTTTTGGCCAACAACATCACCCTTCAGATACCTTGTCTGGCTCTGTTGGAGGTATACAACAGGGCTTTCATCAACAAAGTTTTGACATGCAGCATCCCCCACAAGAACCTTCCCAGTTTTCTGACAGGCAGCAAGCAGTTGGTCCAGAGACCCCATTTCCTGAGTATCCAACAATGCACTCTGCACAACCTTCCAATATCCCCTCACAGGTTACTTCAAACCCAATGCTGAACCCTCCTATGCCATTTGGTTATCCCCCTTACCCACATGAACGAGCTCAACCATTTTATGCTGCTCCCTATGATATGCCTAGGCAGGACTCGGCTTCTGATATAGGTGGGGACCAGAGTTCATTACTGGGTTTCCCACAAGGTGCCCCAAGTGGTCCAAATTTTCCTGGAAATTTTCCCCAGGCATGGAATGCAGGAATTGCTGGTGTGCCTTTTGAACAAGCACAGGGTGGTATGGTTGTGGATCCAAGGGATTCCAAAGGTATATTGGCACCACAGCCCATGCCCCTCCCACCACCGCCACCACCTCCACCTCACATGTCACATTTGAAACAGAACTACTATTCTGGTGAGCTTGGACATGATGCTCAGGGTTATGGATGGCAGCATGATAACCGTGATAGCTTTGGTGGCCAAGGCTAGGAAGGCTTCCAATCAATAGTCTCCTGTATTGGGTTACTTTTGAGGATTTTTCTGCCAGCATGTTTATCTTCTTTAAAATCACTAAACAGCAATTGAACTCTTTTATATTTGGGCCTCTTTTATGTTTGTATATTCTAATCGTATTGAGTTTTTCCTTTGTTGTTACCAAAGGTACTGAAAAGCTTTAGTATGTCCTGTTTGGTACCAGAATCACGACAAAAATAAAATAATGGAATTCATCGGAATGGAATGACTTTTGAAGTCAATCGATTATTTGGTACATGGAGTTAATTCGGAATGAAATCAAATTTGATCAATTTTATTCATAATTATTTTTATCAATAAAGAATAAGGTGGTGTTTGATTGTTATTGTATTTTCATTTTTGGTAGTGATGTATTTACTGATAATTAAAAAAATGTGATATTCTTTCTTTTTTTTGGAAAAATATTTTTTAGTTTAAAGAATATAACTTTGTGTTACTTTAAGTGAAATTATTGTATTTTGGTTGTATTTTATCTTTTTTCTCCACTATATTTTCTTTTTCTCTTGTCTCTTAATTTTGTAGAGGAAAAAATAAAAATCACCAGATATATATTAAAATATAGTCGTTTTACTTAGAGAATGATAGAGTACTTATATTTTATAAAATAATAAACATTTCCTCCTTTTTTTCGGTTATCAAGAATGATTCAAGATTTTGGTAAGACAATGATTAAAACAGCTTGTTATTTTCATTATTTGTTTTATAAAATCTTGAAAATTAGAAATAAAATGAAAGTAATAAGATATTTTTATAATTATTAATTAAAGCATACTAACAAAAATAACCTGTTTCGGATGGCCCAACATCATAATAGCCCAATGGCCTAGGCCCAAACTTTCTTGCTCTTCTCCACATCAGCCCTACCAACTCGTCAACTTCTTTATCCCCAAGGCGATTGCACTCCCTAGGTGAGAAACCAAAATGTTTCACCTTGGGATTCCAACCCCCTGGGAGATCACCCCAGATACTATAAGTAGTAGCTACCCTATCGTCATACCCTGACATGGCCAGGCTCGTTGCCAGGCACAGGGACTGCATCACTGCTACCATAGCAGTGATGCAGTCATCCCTAGCTGATCCCAAGGAGGGTTGACCCTTTCCTCACCAACCCACACAGGAGGAGCGCCCCCTTCTCCCTATATATACCTATTTCCTCACACAAGGAAAGGTATCTTATGTATCGTTATTCTGCCCATTTACATTAAGTCACACATACACACACCCAAACCCCCATTGTTATCTGTTTGCATCATACTTGGAACAATACCTCCTAGGATAGCCAACACCCGACCAATAATCACCTGCGTGTAGTCTATAATCTCCTGGCGATTGATCTGCTCCGGCACCGCCACATTCAGCATTGGCTTAGGAAAACTTGAGTTGAGGTCCCTTTCTGATAACCTCAAGACTCTGCCCACTGGGATCACAGCGGGTGAAGGAGTTCTTTCGGCGCCTGCCGTCACAATGACCCTTCGCCTCACCCAGAGTACTGGTCACCATTACCCCACCATTGCCTGAGTCATCAAGGAAATCGCCCATGGCATAGCAGTCACTATCCGTCGACTGCCCTGACTCAAGTACCTCAATCCTCACCACCTTTTCACCCCGTGAGGAGACCAAGGTTTCATCACCTGGTCTTTTCTGCCCTGAGCATGCACGCCCTGGTGAGGCAGACTCGGGAGTAGACTCCTTGCTGACGAACCCCCCACCTTGTTCGTCGGCTCTTTTATTATGGGCCCAGTCGCCCTTCTCGCCAACTCGCCGGCAAGAATATCAGCCGCAGAGCGAATTTTCTTCTTTTGACAGTGAAGAAATTTCTTCTTCCCCTTATTAACCTCATTGCCCTTCGTGGCGGGAGCAGGCACAGCTGAAGGAACCCCACCGCCGGAAGCTCTAACCTTGGCAGCCGCCTCATGTGCTAGTTTCAACGCATCCATCGGCTTACTTTCAACTGCAAATTGGAAAACAAACAAATGTTAGTAAGGACAGAAAAATGAATGCTCACAAAAAAGTTTGTCGTCCCAAGTGTTACAAGTTGCTGCCACACCTCCATAACATAACACATTATTCGTGGGCCACCTCCTGAAGGACTCCTTAACTTTCAAGAACCATTTCACCACCCACCTTTCCTCCTTAGACAAAATTTCGTAACAAAATTTCAAACAAACGCCCAAGCGTGGGGATGCAGTTGAGAAGGTGCAACCCGTAGATGGGCTAACACCCCCATCTCGAATTCAGAGAAAGGGAACCTAACTTTCTGGTCGGTAAAGTGGGTTTTGTACAAAAAGAATCGCCATTGAGAGATTGCTTCATGGTGTGGCTTGTCACAGACTTGGTCAACCTCCCTCACTACCAGGCATTGCCATTTGATGTCGTCTACAGCATCTTCAGTGAAGTCAAAGTTGCCTTCGAACCTATAAGCCTCGCCTAAAACATATGTGCTTGTATAACAAGAAGAAGAAGATGTCACATCTTCGTCTACCCAATTCCTCGCCAAAAAGTGTTTGTTAGTTTCAGTGATCGCCATGAACAGATAAGAAATTACCCACTAACCAAACCTGGGAGGAGTGAGAAACACACAGTCAAACGTCAAACACTTCAACCGACGTCAACAGAAGTCAATAAATCATCTAGCCGCAAACCTCCATATCGTCCGACATTTACCCCCCAAACCACCAACACCCCCTCACCAACAAACACAAACCAAGCATAACTCACACAAAATGATCTTATTAGAAGAGTCAGAGGTTTCCGAAGAGCTCGATGTGTATAAGTCTGAATAACTTAAGGGATGAGGCCACCAAGCGGGTGGCACCTTATAAAGCCGTAAGTCTTCTTAAATGGCATCCCACACACCATACCTTACGAGCCGACCATCCCCTGGGTGGTACCTACCCAACTGGTTGTCAGTTGATTCGTCGTATTTACGGCGGTGAAATGATTTAGGAATTTGAGGAACGTGGCTACAAGATGTGCATAAGGCGATATGAGTTTCTACTGTTGGATGGATTATTTGTAAGGGACGAGGTTGGTAATACAGTTCTAAGGGGCGGTTCTGAGGTTCACGATTGATAGAAGATAAAGGACGAATAAGTCGCCCTACTCCAAAGGCTGAGCGCCGTGAAGCACGACGACGTGAGCCAGCCCTATAATCATGGGAGGAACGACCAGAAGAGAAAAAATGCCTCCTCCGGAGAGGACGAGATCCGACACCACTCCAAGACCCACCGGACCGACGCTTACCGGATCTAGAAACCCCCCTACCAGGCACAGACCCACGACCGCTACACTAACCAGAGCCAAAAGCCTCACCAGAATATGGAACCACAGACCCCAGAGCCCTTTATGGTAAAAGTCTTTGGATTTCTTCTTCACTGAAACCCAAAAGCTCTGGTATTCTACCATGGAGAAGTGACTCAACCCCAGGAATGAAAGAACGACGAGGCAGAATGCTACTACTCTCCCCAACACGGCCAACGAGGTACGCCCGCATAGCCTCCCCCACCACACAACCGTCAAGTGCCTCAAAAGCCTCATCAAACTCCTCCTCTTTAACAACCACCTCCAACTCCGGCAAGGCCTCGCCAGTCAAGTCCTTTAGCTCAACCATCGCAAGGAGAAGAAAGAACAGAACCCAAGAGGCAAGAAAGCAAAGAAATTACAGAAATCACAAATCAAAGTCACAAACTAGTAACACTATACCTGAAGTGACGGAGACGGCAGTGAATAAGAAGAATGGAAGAAGAAATAGGCCAACACAATCACCCACACAGCAGTTAAAACCAGAAGAGAGAAAGCAAGAGCATGAACAGTCAGAGAGTGGTGAAGAAGATTATGAAGAGGGGGAAAATCCCTTTTAAAAGAGCCTCAGGGTAATACCCAGCATACACGTGTAGTGCCTCACGGTCATCAGCCATTGGATGGGAACAACCGTTGAACTAATGACGGTTGTTATGAAGGACTTTCTGGTAATTGCAGGGAGATAAGACATCCCTCACGTCGCATTAATGCGCCGCATCTCGTGACGTTAGGGTGTCTGCAGTAAATTGCAATGATAGAGTTACCCATCAATACAACCCCTCAAAAATCGAAAAACCACCCTCCCTGCGGAGGACACGTGGTCAACCAAGAAAGCCTCTCATGAACCACATGCCCTACCAAGTTCTCAGAACGCTAGACATCAAACGTTCCTCAGATCGCCAAACATGAAGCGTCACTCAGAACGCGAGACACGAAGCCTCTCAGATCGTCGAACACGGAACCCCATCCAAGTCGCCAAATTCTTAACACTCAAGTCCTCAAGGGCGTTTTATCTTGCTAACCTATCGGATCGTTGTATTCACCCCTGGGGCGCCTAAAGCAATCTACCTTGGCACCAAGCTACGCTTGCTACCAAGCTGAGGGGGCTCCTGTTCCGGATGGCTCAATGCCATAATGGCCCAATGGCCTAGGCCCAAACTCTCTTGCCCTTCTCCACGCCAGCCCTACCAACTCGCCAACTTCTCTATCCCCAAGGCGATTGCACTTCCTAGGTGAGACACCAAAATGTCTCACCTTGGGGTTCCAACCCCCTGGGAGACCGCCTCAGATACTATAAGTAGTAGCTACCCTATTGTCATACCCTGACATGGCCAGGCTCGTCGCCAGGCACAGGGGCTGCATCACTACTATCATAGCAATGAAGCAGTCACCCCTAGCTGATCCTAAGGAGGGTTGACCCCTCCTCACCAACCCACACAGGAGGAGCGCCCCCTTCTCCCTATATATACCCCTTTCCTCACACAAGGAAATGTATCTTATGTATCGTTATTCTGCCCATTTACATTAAGCTACACATACACATACACACACCCAAACCCCCATTGTTATCTGTTTGCATCATACTTGGAACAATACCTCCTAGCTCGGTCCCTACCTTTGCTAGAGGTATAACTCATACAGAGACTCCATCCCCCAAAGGGAACATAGTGGGCTTATAGATTCTAACGGTACATAACCAAAACACCGCTTTAAGTTTTGAATTTAATTTGTTTATTACTTAATAACAAAAAAAAAAGAGCAAATAGTGTTTTAACTGGGAGAAAAATTACCGTGAACAATGTTTCACAAAAAAAAAAATTATATATTTTCTTTCATACTTTGTCAGAGTGAAAAATGGTGATTGGTAGTAACAAAAATTAAGTTTTACGTAAAATGTTTCATTTTTTTATATATATATTGA